AGTTTCTCGAATCATTGATGTTTCTATCTGTCTCTCCCTCTCCCTTCCTCTTTGAAATCAATAAAAATATATTTTAAAACTGAGCCAGTGCTTTTTATAGAATGCTCAGATACTCTAACACAAGAAGAATATTATAATAAGGATCAGAAACATAGAATGGAAAGGGGATAGGGAGGAGAGACTGCCAAATTTCAGAGCCTTTCCCTCTCCCCTCCACCAAGCTTCTTTATAAAAAATCAATTATAATCACAGTAATATATTGAAAAGTTTAAAAGTCATGACAATATCCTCAACCTGGACAAGATGACCTCTTAGGCAAGAGAAAATATTTTATCTCACTCCACTAAATGAGCTACTTATTATTTTTGGTATCAGAATTGTCCTAATCATTTACTACAGCTGCCTCCCTTCTCCATTGTTGTTCAGTTTGTGCAGATAATTAGAGCTGATAATGTTAGCTGACATGAGGTCCAGGAGTTTCCAAGAACTAACATAGGAATATTAGGGGAATTTGATAACATTCTTTACTGACTCTAACACTAATGATGTGAAACTCTGGCCTACCCTCTCAAGTTTTTCTTTCTCCCTTTTCCTATGTCTTTACCTACCCTAGAGCTACACAACTCTCTTGGTTCTCTACTCTTATACTCAGGCTGTTGAATGTGGTAAAAGAAAAAACACACTCGAAAAACCAATGATAATAACAACACACACTATGCACCATGCCCCTCATCCTACATAGACTTGTATGATCCATTTGTGCTCTAGATCCCATCCTCTCTTTCTCCCCTTGGTCTATTAATCCTTCTCCTCTCCAGCTTCTCTATTATCTCCTTTCCTCAAGATTAAGTCCCTCAGACTTTTCTACCTCTAGTCAAGACAGAGAAACAGTGAGATTTGCCTCTCCATCTGAGACAAATTTTTTAAAAAAAGAATATGTATAAAACAATGGTATTCCTCACATTGGACATCAGACAACAAAAGACAATGATGCCTGAAAGGAAATGAAGGAGATGATAATTGTAACGGCCGTTTGCTTACAGCCTTGAGAGCGGTTCTAAGCTGCTGCACAAGATGGGGAACCCAGGTGCAGCCTGGTTAACTATTTCAGTTGAGGCAATGGAGCTGAGAGTCTTAAAAGACCAAGCTGATCAGAATCCACAGGACAGTTGCACAGAGAGGAAACTCAAGGGATCTCCAGAGAGTCCCACACAAGTACTCAGCAGAGTTCTTAAGGGCCTGTGTGTAATTGTAACAGGAACCCAAGTTTGGCTGCCTGCCGCCACAAAAACCAAACTCATTAGACAGATGCTGCTGAAAAAGGAAGTGATTTTATTCAAATGCCAGTCACCTGAGGAGATGGGACTCTTGTCCCAAAATCCATCTCAACATCTCAATGCAGGCAGAGGGTTTTATAAGGAGGGAGAGGCTCACGCATTTGTGGATTATAATGAACAACGTAAACCGATGAACAAAAACAGATATAGAGACAGAGAAGCATCGATCAGATGCTCAAAACTCAGAGGGAAAGCAGAGGAGGGTGGGGGGGAGGGGGAAAGATCAATCAAAGGACTTGTATGCATGCATATAAGCATAAGTGATGGATGTGGACAACAGGGGGTGAGGGTGAGGGCAGGATTGGGGGGATGAGGGGACATTGAGGGGATAAGGACACATTTGTAATATCTTATTAAATAAAGGGAAAAAATTTTAAAAAATAAATAAAAATAAAGTACAGATGAATTTTAAAAAAATGTATAGGGGGTGGGGAGAGGTAAGAGGAAGTACAGGGGCGATAAATGGTGATGGAAGGAGATTTGACTTGGGGTGGTGGTGAACACACAATACAATATACAGAATTGTACACCTGAAAGCTATATAATTTTATTAACCGATGTCATCCCAATAAATTCAATAAAAAAACTTAATGAGCCTCAAAAAAAAAAAAGAGGCAAAACAGAACAAATAAATCAAGGGGAGGGGATTGAAAAGTTCTCTATGTGCAGGCCAGCACAGTCCATTCCAATAAGGACCTCGAATCTGGTCAAGTAATGATCTAGTGTGTGACATCCTGGTCTTCATCATCCTCGTTCTACAACATCCTAATTCTATGGCTGAAGGTCAGCAAATCTCCTGCAACTGGTACAATTGAAGGTCAGAGTCTGCATCTTCAACTAAAAGGTCCCCTCCTTGAAAAGGCTTTCCTCCATCACCCTAACGCTACTCTAGAGTAGTAGCCTGCTTTCCTTTCTTTATAGAATTTTTTACAGTTTCTAATTATCCTTTATGATATGATTATAATTACTTAGTACTGTTATTTTCTCACATGCGTATTTAGAACATGAGTTCCACAAGTGAAGAAAGCATGTCTGTTGTCTTTACCACTATACCCTTGGTGACTAGCACAGCTTATAACTATTGTGGGCTCTCAAATACTTAATGAGTTAATGTAAACAAGAACTGTGACGAGGGTAAGTTTCCTGATGATCAGCATTTCCCAAGGTAATTACTAGTAGTCCCCAAATCCCATGCTTTGGTTCCCCTTAGTTATGAGAGGATACTGAGTACTCACCTCTACCTGAGTAACATTGATGACAAGCACCACCACCGTCAACACTGCGAGCAGACAGCAGAAAAGCCGTAGTTTATAGAAACTGATCCACATTATCTGGCTGTGTCTTGATCACCCATGGCTAACACCATGCTACCTTCACTTCTCAAAACTCCATGTCTTTATTTTTCTGAGCTGCAGGTGAGCTTTCAGTTTCATTTGCTTCTTCTCTGCTAGCATCCTTCAGAGTTCTTAGTATAAAGGAGGAGCTGGGATTCACTTAAGCAACACATTTTTCTTCAGAGGACTCCTGCAAACAGGGAAGATCAGAAAACAGGGTAAGAGGAAAGATACCACATTTCCTGTTCTTTAACCTTACGAAAGCCCGAAGTCATGCGGGGAAAGAAAACAGCCCGAGCACAGTAACATCTATTCCATATCCAGGCAATTTACTGAAACCCAACCCCAGTCTACTGTGTAAATACAATGATATTGGTCCTACTACCTATTTAGGTCTTAACTTTTAAGAGAGCAAAGAAGAATGTCTTTAAACTCTCAGAAATTGCAAAGTTAAAGTAACTGTTAAATTTCTACAGAAGTCTAAGTTAAAAAAAATCACTTCAATTCTATTATAGTGCAAGTCATATAATACTACTGGAGTAATTATATTTAAAAAGCATTAAGAGCCCTAACCGGTTTGGCTCAATGGATAGAGCGTCGGCCTGCGGACTCAATGGTCCCAGGTTCGATTCCGGTCAAGGGCATGTACCTTGGTTGCAGACACATACCCAGTAGGAAACACCCTTTGGGTCTCCAGCTCCTCCAACACATATGTGGTCCCTATGTTCCTTCAGCTGAGTAACAAGCAACAGAAGTAAAGACACCTGCCCTGAAGATACAGGAGAGGAAAGCTAAGCTTGCGGAGGGACAGGACATCCAAATCCTTCATCACATCTGTTAGAGGCAGAGGACTTCAGAGTCTGCCGCTCCTGTTCGCCATGTAATGAATGCAAAATGCTCTCCCCAGTTGCTATTTTGATATAGGTAAGCAGGTAAAGTGCTGGCATTTTATTCCCAGTGAGGCTTTCCTGGAGGGCAGGGTGGAGAGGTAAAGGAGAAAAAGGTGAACAATCAGAGTGCAGATCTCAGAATACCTCAGCTGCACCATCACTCCCTGCAGCTTTGTGTTGGAACTGGTAAGCCCCCTATTTCCTCACTCACCTACGCCCCCTGTGTAATTCATTCCCATACCACAAGGACCATAACAACCCTTCCTCACCCCAGCTTCATAAAGGAGACAAGGCTAAGCTATTGCAACATACTCTCCATCCTCAAAATTCCCACAGCACTTACTATTTTCACTTCTCAGCTGATCTTTCTATTTTTATTGTCTATTTTTATTGTATTTCTTGTCTTCCCAATTAGACTATACCATTTATGGCTATATATTTTTTTAAATATATTTTATTGATTTCTTACAGAGAGGAAGGGAGAGAGATAGAGAGTTAGAAACATCGATGAGAGAGAAACATCGATCAGCTGCCTCCTGCACAAAGGCTAAGCTATTGCAACATACTCTCCATCCTCAAAATTCCCACAGCACTTACTATTTTCACTTCTCAGCTGATCTTTCTAATTTTATTGTATTTCTTGTCTCCCCAATTAGACTATACCATTTATGGCTATATTTTTTAAAAATCAATAAATCGTTAAAAAAAAAACTTAATGATAACAGTGTATCATACTTTTTGACTCTCTCACAGTACTTAGCTCTTTCCATGATATAAGTTGATTCAATACTCTGTATTGCACACTGTACTAAGTACCAGAAATTCCCCTGGAAAAGCTTATACTCGTATTAGGCAATTAAACAGGAATAAATGCAGCACTCAAAGCCACTTCCAGAGGGATGCCAAATGCTGTGAAAGGCTGCACTTAACCATTTCATAATCCCCCAACACTGCCTCACTCCAAAACCCAGGTACTTACACGAAGTGCCCCTAAATTCTGGGAAGGAAATGGCTGTGAAACAGGAAAAACGCTGTCACCAGGGACGCAACTGCTCCTCTGTAGAAACCCTTAAGAAGTTGGCCAAAACAATCAGGTTTCCCTGATGGCCAGAGAGGAAGAAGACCAGAGATGAGACTCCACAGGAATAAGCTGCACCACAGCAGGCATGGCCATGTGCTGTGTGACCACCATCAGAATGGCGGTGTAGTTCAGAGTCAGTCAGCAGCACAGCAGTGGTCAGTGGTGCAGAAGGATGGCAAGGGCAGCAGACCCCAGATCTAAAGGAACTGCAAGGTCACAGGCAGCAATGCAAATACGCAAGAAGCCCCTCATGGCCAGACTTTTACTGAACATCACTATGGAAGATTATGTCAGGGAAAGATCTGACTTCCTGCTACGAGCAAGTAGAGCATAAAGATAAGAGAGACCGGCACGGGGAAGGAGGAGTACCTCGGCCAAGAAAATTATGCATGCGTTAGGGAAGCTGTGAGAGAATGGCTGTGGAAGCTCTCCACTGCGGTTTGAATCCTCGGGGTATTGATCATCCTGCTCATACTGAAGGCATTAAACTGCAAATTGAAGGTGAAGGTGTTGAGTCTCAACCCATTAAAAACAAACATTTCCAGAAGGTGCTTGACCAAAAAGGAACCCCCAAGCGACTGCAGGCAGAAGCTGAGACGGCTAAGTCATCTACGGTGAAGCTGTCAAAACCAGTGGCTCTGTGGACTCAGCAGGATGTCTGCAAGTGGTTGAAGAAACATTGTCCGAATCAGTATCAGATCTACAGCGAGTCATTCAAACAGCATGACATAACTGGGCGAGCTTTGCTGAGACTTACTGACAAAAAGCTTGAGCGAATGGGGATTGCCCAGGAAAACCTCCGGCAGCACATCTTGCAACAGGTGCTCCAGCTGAAGGTGCGGGAAGAAGTCAGAAACCTACAGTTACTCACACAAGCCTCAATTGAGGGTTCTCCATAAATGTGGTGAGCCTTCCAAGCTACTCTCCTGCCAGTGGATATGAACATGACCTGCTCCTCCCAGAGAGACTAACTCATGGCCCTGCCAGATGATCCCCTTGGAGCATTGACAGATTAACCAGATTAATTGCGGGGAAAGCACCCATCCAGTCAAGCTGATGGGCTTTGGGAAATCTTAGCTTGCCGTGGATTTGAAATCGAGGTGCATTACATGCAGTGCCCACTCGTTGCAAGCGGTCATCGGCAGACGATTAGCTGGAAAATTGCTTCCAGTTTTCATCACTGTGCATCACTCCGGCCCCCTTCGGGGAGCTGTCTGTGCCCCTCCCTGGAAGTCCTGTTTCCGCATGGCAACTACTGGATTCTCTTACTATGCGTGCAGATGGCATGATGTGTTAGACAACAATTACAGCAGTTTTGCAATCTCAAAAAAAAAAAAAGATAAGAGAGACCATTTGTGCTTCTAATTAGATGTAGCCTAAGGAGCACCAAACAGACCTTTCCTTGAGAACACATATACTAAAATGTTGACAGTTGTCACACTTGGGCAGTTTTCGTTTTTCTCCTTCATCTTTATCTTTATGTCCTAATCTTTCACCAAGAACTAAAAAATCACAAATATTAAAAATAAAGCTGGTTTCTAAAAGTAAAGATAAGACAGAAAGAGAAACAAGGCATTAAATATGATATGGGAAAACAATTCAACTTAAAATAAAAGATTTAAGACTTTAAAACAAAGGCTATATAAGAGACAAAGAAGGACATTGTATAATAAGGGGATCAATCCAACAAAAGGCTACAACCTTTATAAACATTTATGCACTCAATATAGGAGCACCTAAACATATGTCAAATCTTGATGGACATGAAGAAACAGATCAACAATAATACAGGTCATAAATATATCAGTGGATATATCTTTCAGACAGAAAATAAGGAAACAGTTTATTTATAAACTAGAGGCCCGGTGCACAATATTCGTGCACTGGGGGGGGGGGGGTCCCTCAGCCCAGACTGCACCCTCTCCAATCAGGGACCCCTTGGGGGATGTCCGACTGCCAGTTTAGGCTTGATCCCTGTGGGATCAGGCCTAAACCGGCAGTCAGACATCTCTCTCACAATCCAGGACTGCTGGCTCCCAACTGCTCACCTGCCTGCCTGCCTGATTGCCCCAACCACTTTTTCCTGCCAGTCTGATCACTCCCTAACCCCCCCCCTGCCAGTCTGATCGACACCTAACTGCTCCCCTGCCGGCCTGATTGCCCCCAACTACCCTCCCCTGCCAGCCTGGTCACCCCTAACTGCCCTCCCCTGCCGGCCATCTTGTGGCAGCCATCTTATGCCCACATGGGGGTGGCCATCTTGTGCGAGGGTGTGATGGTCAATTTGCATATTACCTCTTTATTATATAGGACTAGAGGCCCGGTGCACAATATTCGTGCACTGGGGGGGGGGGGGTCCCTCAGCCCAGACTGCACCCTCTCCAATCAGGGACCCCTTGGGGGATGTCCGACTGCCAGTTTAGGCTTGATCCCTGTGGGATCAGGCCTAAACCGGCAGTCAGACATCTCTCTCACAATCCAGGACTGCTGGCTCCCAACTGCTCACCTGCCTGCCTGCCTGATTGCCCCAACCACTTTTTCCTGCCAGTCTGATCACTCCCTAACCCCCCCCCTGCCAGTCTGATCGACACCTAACTGCTCCCCTGCCGGCCTGATTGCCCCCAACTACCCTCCCCTGCCAGCCTGGTCACCCCTAACTGCCCTCCCCTGCCAGCCTGGTCACCCCTAACTGCCCTCCCCTGCCAGCCTGGTCACCCCTAACTGCCCTCCCCTGCCAGCCTGGTCACCCCTAACTGCCCTCCCCTGCCAGCCTGGTCACCCCTAACTGCCCTCCCCTGCCAGCCTGGTCACCCCTAACTGCCCTCCCCTGCCGGCCATCTTGTGGCAGCCATCTTATGCCCACATGGGGGTGGCCATCTTGTGCGAGGGTGTGATGGTCAATTTGCATATTACCTCTTTATTATATAGGATTATACAATAGACCAGATGAATTGAATTGACATATTCTGAACATTTCACCCCAAAGTAGCAGAATACACATTCTTTTCAAGTGTACATGAAACATTTTATAGCATAGATCACATGTTAGGACACAAAATTAATGTCAATGGCCTGGCTGGTGTTGCTCAGTGGTTGAATGTCAAACTATGAAGCAGGAGGTCACAGTTCGATTCCCAATCAGGGAACATCTCAGATGGGTTACAGGTTCAATCCCCAGTACATGATTCTCCCTCATCACTGATGTTTCTATCTCTCTCTTCCTCTCCCTTCTTCTCTCTGGAATCAATAAAAACATTTAAAAAGAACTAATCTCAATAAATTTCAAAAGACTGAAATCATGTCAAGCATCTTCTCTGACTACAATGGTATAAAACTATAAATCAATTACAAAGAAAAAAAAACTTAAAAGACAAACACATAAAGGCTAGCCCTAACCAGTTTGGCTCAGTGGATAGAGCGTCGGCATGCAGACTAAAGGGTCCCAGGTTCAATTCCGGTCAAGGGCATGTACCTTGGTTGTGGGCACATCCCCAGTAGGGGGTGTGCAGGAGGCAGCTGATCAATGTTTCTCTCTCATCGATGTTTCTAACTCTCTATCCCTCTCCCTTCCTCTCTGTGAAAAAATCAATAAAATATATTTTTTAAAGAAACACATAAAGGCTAAATAATGTTACTAAACAATGAATGGATTAACGAAATCAAGGGAGACATAAAAAATACCTTGAGACAAATGAAAATGAAAACACAACAATGCAAAATCATGGGACACAGTGAAAGCAGTCCCAAGAGGGAAATTCATACCAATTCAGGTCTACCTCAAGAAACAATAAAACTCTCAAATAAACTATCTAACCTTGTACCTAAGGAACCAGATAAAGATACTATAAAGAAAGAAAATTATAGGCCAATAATGAACACAGATGCAAAAATCCTCAACAAAATATTTTAAAAACAAATTCAGCAATACAGTAAAAAGATCATTCACCACGATCAAGTCAGATTTATTCCTGGGATGCAAGATTTGTACAGTATCTGCAAATAAATTAATGTGATACAGCACATAAACAAAATGAAGAATAAAAATTATATGATCATATCAATCAATAAATGCAGAAAAAGCACTTTTAAAAGTGCAGAACCCATTTATGATAAAAATTCTCAGCAAAGTGGGACTAGAGGGAACATACCTCAATATAATAAAGGCTATATATGAAAAACAGCTAACATCATACTCAATGGGGAAAACTAGAAGTGTCACCGTGAAGATAAGGAATAAGACAGGAATGTCCATTTTCACCACTCTTATTCAACATAGTACTGGAAGACCTAGACATAGCAATCAGATAAGAAGAAGAAATTAAAGGCATCCAAATTGGAAAGAAAGAAGTAAAACTGTCATTATATGTGAAAGACATAACTGTAAATAGAGAATCCTAAATACCCCACCAAAATAATACTGGAACTGATAAATGAATTCAGGAAAGTAACAGGATACAAAAATAAATATTCAGAAATCAGTTGCATTTTTATACACCAACTAGAGGCCCGGTGCATAAATTTGTGAACGGGTGGGGTCCGGCCAGCCCGTCCCAATCAGGGCCAATCGGGCCGGCCCTTCCCCCGATCAGGGTCGGGGACCGACTGGGGGTGGGGCTGGCTTTGGGGAGGGTGCCACAGGTGGTTGGCAGGCTGGCCCTGCCCCCGATTGAGATAATGGGGGGCTGATTGGGGGCGGGGGAAGGGCCAGCCAGGAGGAGGGGCCTGGAGAAGACCCACTGTGCTGGAGCTGAGCATGGGAGCCAGGCTTCCCAGGGAGGATGGCCTCAGCAAGGAAACAGAAACCACCAGAAGACTCTGCAAACAGGCCCTGAGCTCCCCTTGGCCAGGCGGACTCAGAGCTGGTGTCTCTGTGTGTACATTAGACACAGCCCACACTCGCCTTTGTTGTTGCTCAAATCCATTGCATCAAAAAACTTGTTCCCCTTCTTCTCTTTGGGCCCTTACAACAAATACAGGCCAATTGGAGGACATGGGCCCCAGAAGCAGAGCCAGGCCCCAGAATCACCTGCAATTTAGGCCTAAGACAACTGGGTAGCAATCTCCACGGAACAGAACATACTGTTTTAGTGTCTTAATTCTCCCCTAAAATGTGCCCAGCTGCTCCTCTTTAGCCGTGATAGACTGAATTAAAGAACCAAAGACCGAGTTTCCTGTGAGGCAGGATCCACCAGGAGCCAGCAGTTGGCAAGGCCCCTCACAGGCGGCTGTCTTCCCCACAGGCTCAGTGTGCTCTGAGCCGGTACGTTTCTGGTGGTGCCGGGTCCTGGGCTGCTGGTCCTGCTGGTCGGGTGGCAGGTCCACAGGATTTCTCTCTGCCACCATCCTGGCCTCCCGACCAATACCCTCCAGCCCGGTGCGCCAGGCGGCTGTCGCTAGAGCCGGGACTCAGAGAGCGAAGGAGCTGGCCCATGCTGAGAGGGACCTGCAGTGGCCCGGCCACGCCCTCCACCCCACTTCTGTCTCACTCGTGTGGATCAGTCCAAAGCCCGCTGCCTGAGACTAGTGCCATGTGGGGAGGGTCGCAGCAGGGAGAGGGGCGCCCTGACCTGCCAGCCTTGGTGACAATCATCTCAGTGCCCAGCTCATTGAATTCATCCCACAGAGGCTTCATCTCAAGCTACATGCTCATGCTGGCCACCTTCATGTTCTTCTTTACCAGCGCCTTGGGCAATCATCTCAGTGCCCAGCTCATCATCCCACAGAGGCTTCATCTCAAGCTGCACGCTCACGCTGGCCACCTTCATGTTCTTCTTTACCAGCGCCTTGGCAGCGGCCACACAACTAGCCCTGGGGCCCTCAGGATTGGCAGTGGCGCTGGTGGCGGCCCCTGCGGCCAGCACATCATAACAACCGGTCATTCCGCCATAACGGTCACTGGGCTTTTATTATATAGACTAGTGGCCCAGTGCACGAAATTTGTGCATGGTGGGGTGTCCCTCAGCCTGGCCTGCACCCTCTCCAATCTGGGACCCCTCGGGGGATGTCTGACTGCCAGTGGGATCGGGCCTAAACTGGCAGTCGGACATCCT